TAATAGTAGCACAGCCAGGCTTCCATTATGTCTTTGAGCTCCTTTGGTTCAGAAACAGAAGGTATGTCTTACCAGTTGACCGATCCGATCCAGGTTATCCAGGAAGTATTTCACCGATTCACCCTGTGAAAAAGGAAAGAGATGGAACTAAGCTTGTTTCTGGGACAGCAAATACAACTGAACTACAGCCCTTTCACGTTCCAGCAGGCACTGAGGTCTAACAGAGCAGTATCCCAAGTGGAAGCTTGGACAACATCCTTCAGGACCTGAAACAATACAGGTATTACACAGCTTAATTCACATAAACTGCTGATAATGGAGCTGCCATAATATACTACCAATGTGCAGGTAAGGTAGTATTTCTTCTACAAGCAACTCTCTTAGTCCTAGAAAAATCAAAGTTGATTAGAGATCTGAATAAATGCTCAAATCTATCTAGTAAATCTTCACAATGAAAAGGAAGTGTTTAATATTGAAATCAGTCTTTTGGCTTAAAGAATTAGGGTTTTTTCCCCTTGTGTGAGGAATGCAGTTCATTGACACTGGGTGGGAGTAAAAATGAAACACATTTTTAAGAAACCAGTGTATTTTGTTTAAAATTCGTAACAGTGAACAAAAGCGTATCCTAGACTGGTTGGCATATCTTTACAAAAATGAAAGATTTATGTCACCCACAATTTGTGATAATTCAAGCCAGACTTGCTTATCAAAAAAAAAAAAAGGCAACATTCTCAAGGACTTTCTCTTCTACAGATAGTTTTCCTTTTAGTCTGAAGAATTTAATAATAGGTTTGCTCATTTTGCACAAAATCCTTCAGCAGTTATATGGAGAAGAATATAGGCAATGTTTACAAAGAAAATGTATTCTTGTGTGAAAACGTGTAAGAGGTTTTGCAGGTTTTTTTGTGGTAGTTTTTTTTCTTAAACAAGATTTGAGTGTGATACATGGGCAAGTAAGTGCCACTTCACATTAATGGACACAAAAAGCCCAGCATATACTTTTTAGAAGTAATTACATTGTTTTCACACAGATGCAGAATTACTTCTGGAATGAAACTATCTTTGGCAGAAGCCCATTATCCTTCAAACACTTCCCTTTCATTTCTTCAGATAAAGACTATCTATTCTGTAAGAAGTATTCTTCATTGTTTAGGACGTGTGTCTTGCAGTTGTAGCCATGTCACAAGAAGGACAAAACTGAAAAACCTGCTGCTTTTTTAATAATTTTAGGCAGCAAAACAGATTACATATATCACAGATTGGGCTGTGTCAGTAATGACCAAACAGACAGTAGGTGCCTGCACCAAGTCACTAAATCAGAATGAGAACATCCTCAAAATACCATCTCAGGTTCTGACAGCAATATAAATTCTTAAACCACACATTCTCTTCTACACCATAGGCTTGAGACAGCACAACAAAATTATTCCCCTTTAGTACAACTGCAAACAGATGCCACAATAACAGTTCATTTTGAAGGATCAGACTGGAGATCAGAGGATTTGTGCAGTGTACTGCACAAATTTGTACAGTGTAGTGCACATAAAGAAGCTGTAGCTTATTACTGCCTAACATGTAAAACTGGAAGAAGTGTCTTCTCATAACGGAGAGAAAACATACATATTTGCAAAAAACTACCACGTATCACAAAAGAATTACAATGGATCACTAGCAGAAAAAAAATTTTTTGGGGTGGGAAGAGTTTCCAAAGAACAATTGCTGTAAGAGCTTCCTTACAATCATGAATTTTCACAAGGTGAAAGTAATTTCCTGTATTTTTTGGCACTGTGTTGGATCAGAAGATACAGCACAGACTGCATGAATAAGAGAAAAGGTCTTCCTGTACAGCATTAGTCATATTTAGGAGATGGGAGAGCCCAAAAAAGAAAAGGTCACTGAAGCTACAAAAAAAAAAAACCCTTCTCTTATCTATTGTGCTTTGTCCTACATATTGCCTTTAGATGTGCAACGAGACTGCAAACGGGCTGTCTCTGATATAAATTGTTCCTATTTTCTACCCAGTTGCTCTAAGAGTCCTTGCCTTGTCCGTACACCCTCCCACGCTGAGCGCAGGAAACAGCTGTACGCATGGAAACTGCTGGGACACCCGAGCAAGTTTACCTGATTTACAGCCTCTGCCTCCCCCACTTCCTGCCCCACGCGTCAGTTCAACATATTGCACATTTATAAGAAAATTATCTGATTAATGAAAATAATACATGTTAATTTCTGCAGTGGTTTAGGGAAACTAGACTTCTCTAGTTTCTTATACAGCTCTTCGTAACATTGCAATTAAGCCAAGTAATTCATTCTGGGAAATTTTAAGCAGTCATTGCAAAACACTTGCATAGCTGGGTAACCAAGCCAGGTTGCTGGAACAGGTGTGAACACCATATGCATGGTCTGACAGATCTGAAGAAGATGTCTGAATATTCTCTTCTAGCACAGAATTCAAAGACATCCAGTACTTAAGTCAAAATATCTGTTCCCAGTCAAAACAACAAATCCCCAACAAGCTCCAGAGGGTCTGAAGTTAAAAAAAAAGCTCAAAACATTAAAGCACACAAATGCGAAGGGAGAGAGTCCCCTCCTCACAAAAAACCAAAACCCAAACCCACACCACACACTCAAACCCCCTATTTTAAAGATGATCCCTTGATTAAAGCCTGTGTTAGGCCTATGGAAGCGTGGAGTCAGTTCCTGCTCCAAAGACTTCTTGAGTAGCCCTGCTCTACACCTTAGTCTGACGCACAGAAGACTTGGTTGCTTCTGGAAAGTGTGTGGGGTATTTCAGTCCTTCGAGTAGGCTGCACAGAACGACTGCAGACAGCACCGCTTGGCTTAGTGAATATCTTACAATGTATTTACATGAGGAAAATATGGAAACTCCAGGTGTTTTGTATTAGTATTTTTAATCAGAACAACTGTATTAACTGAACATTCCTTTATAATTTAATTTTTTTCCTCATCAGTCAGGGAAAATAGTTAGCAATACTAATTAGATCTAGAAGTCAAATTTATTTAGCTTTATATCAAGCTGCACTTGAATGCAATTTTGAGTTCCATCGATAAATTGTTATCATGCTTTGGGTATTATACACACACACAATCAAATCTGCGTATGTGTATATAGACACATAGGCACATAAAAAATACAGACATACGAGTTTATGAATTGTTCACCAAGGTAAGTTTTCCATTCAAGGCAAACTATTAAGTATCAGCTGCCCCTCTCATGTTGAACTATTTTTCGTCTTGAAGGCACTGACCACAAACAAGCTGGTTTGGCTTTTTCAGACAAATTCTTAGTGTTTCTCCAAAGTCATCTAGACAGTCAACTACATTCAAAAGCTGGCTTAGCACTTCAAATGCTCTCCTTTTCCAGATCTTAGCCAGCTATTTCTGGTTCACTAGCATGACTTCCTATGGAAATGGCAGCTAGTATTCGCAATCGATTTGCAATTTGAGTATCTGGTGTACCAGATACTAAAAATATCGTTATGCAGATTGATGACTTCAATCATGCTATTTTAATAGTTCTAGTAAAAAAAATTAAGTAATTTTTTGAACACTGCAATGTATTTTGAACAATGTTTGCAAGCAGCAAAATAAAAAGGAAAGCCAAAGTTATTTATACTATATTTAAATACCTAAAGATAAACACACTTACAAAACAAACAAAAAAGGTCCAGGTCAGATGGGTCAATCTTTTACAGGCTGGTTTGTCAAGGAAAAACTGGCAGCTCAAGAAACTTCCTCCAATCAACTACGTTCATAGAAGATTGTTGAGCTTCTGTCTTTTCAGGTTTACAAAGACTCAAATCTTCTTGTATTTCCCTGTTAGTACACTGTTTCCTTTTATAAAAATATTCTGACAATATTAATAAATAATTTGCTTGAAACAATGTCTTTCAGATTTTACTTTAACCAGCACAGTACTTAAGATATGAAGCACCATCGTGTCACAGTCACAGCAAAGCATGTCAGCGAAGCATGTCTGTACTGATATTATTTTTATTTTTAACTAGCATATTTCACCTTTGAAAATTATATCAAAGCCAGAGACCAGATCATCCATTTTGCTCTTGATACAAACCAGCTAGCTATTTTGTTGGGGTGTGTGTATGCGTGTGCGTGTGTTCATCTTCTTTGATAATAAATCAAGATGTCAAAATTCTGTCTTCCATCCATGCCCTGTGTTTTCCGGGACAGTGGTGGGGGAGGGAAGAGTGGCCTCCGAGCTATGAATTTTACATAATTCAGACACTCCTTTTTAGTACACCAGAGCACAGCACAGACCATTAGTCTTCCTTAACTTCTTGCTCACCACACAAGAGTTACCACAAATGCTCAGATGATTCATTCTCTCACTGCTAATCTCTTCTCCCTCTGCAATACATATCCTCTGAGTAACAGTTTTGCCAACTGGGACCAAGCGAAGGAATAAGAGATGCTGTTCTCATTGTTCAGTAGGATGAGTCACTGCACATCTGGGAACCGGGGAAATCAAGAAACACAAACAGAAGGCCTAAAATGAGCCCACAAGTTCCACAATGCAGCATCACTATTGGATTATTTTTTAAAAGATTTTTTTTTTAACGGCCCTATTTGCAGTGTAAAGTTTGGTGAAGCCAGTGAAAATAATACAATTTGCTTAAAAACTGATCCGTGGAGGAGAAAGGGAGGAAAGGTAAAATGTAAATGTATACTGTTGCTTCCTGAAATAGTGCTCCAAAACTCTCTTTTTATATGCTAGATTACTTGGAACAGAGTATTCTCAAGTGGCAAAAGCCACAAAATTCAGAAGAGGTTTTTATTCTTTACATTTTGTACTATATGAATGTCATCTTAATATTAGCTCCAAACAAGTCACCATGAAAATAGCTAATTGAATTTAACATCTCTCTCCCTTCAGGCTAGGTTCATAGCATGTAAGAAATCTCCCCACAGAAATATTATAACTAATCTGGCATCACTTCCTTTGCCATTGATAGCCTCATTGCAAAAAACAAGTAGAAAACACTCCAGCAGATTTCCCAAGCATTATTCATTTCATGAAAATAAGTGTACAACAGATCATATGTAGATTGCTTTAAAATACCTATAGAAACTCAGTAATAAGA